GTTAACACGTGCAGAAGAAACCCGAGCTTGCTGCCCTCGTTGGTTCCTGCACAATAATGTTGCTGTGTGTGGTTCTCACAGATTTCTGCCGGATGACTTCACTCCCACTAACACTGCTCAGCCTGCACCTGCCTCTCTCCATAGTGCTCTTTTAATGAAAAGACCTTCACGTGCCAGCCTTCAGTCTAGTAATCTTAAATAAGTGGTATATTCTGGGGCTACCCCGTAGTAAATCCAGGGATTAGCCTAAAACCTCACTTAGATGAAGCATGCAGAATAACCAAGAGGAGGTTAAGAAAGGGTGAAGTGGCAGTTATGAGGTGCTGTTATAGCAGGATTAAATATTTTATTTTGGTTGCTTAGCAGAAGTCCTTTGTCCTTTTCATGCACCACCTTATTTTAGCAATTATCCCTTTGGCTTGTGGCCTTGTTTATGCTCCCATCACCTCTGGACGACTTCTTGGCACCATTTGAAAACCAAGTGCACAAAGTTGATTGGCTGCTTATAAATGGCATCGTCAGGTGTAGAGGGCTCTGTGATATGTTTGTTTTGCGTTCATGCTTTGCACTTTACAAGCTTGTTTTGGGTGGTGAGAATAAGAAACACAATCCCGTATGTTAATCTGAAATAATGTCTGATTGGCAGGTTATTGATTACAATGGCGAGAGAACATTGGAAGGCTTCACCAAGTTCCTGGAGAGTGGTGGAAAGGACGGCGGTGCCCCTGCAGGAGATGATGATGATCTGGATGCAGAGGTAAAGATGATGCATTGTCACACTCCATTTAGAGAAAAACATTCAAGATCACACTCAGGATGTAAAGAGACTAGGAACATACATGACCATGTATTATGTGACAGAAACCAAAACAATTGTAGCAGCTACTATTTTTAAAGATTAGCTGCCCTGTGTGTATTTCAGGGTTGATTGTTGAGTCTTTACCTTAATCACAGTGTTGTATAAAGTCAAGATCTCAGACTCGTGTGTCCCACAGTGAAATCCATGAATCAGTCGTTCGTTATTTCACAAATATTATCTGAAGACACTTTTACAAACAGCCAGTCTAGATTGCACTCTTTGGTATACGAAACCTCCTTTTGAAGGCATATTGTGGCATCATGTCGGAAGCTTCCCAAAATAGACTGAAGGGACCAACTCATTAGGATTTAAGACTGCAACCTTAGAACTGACCCACTTCTTTCTAGGTGGATGTTGCCAACTGATACACAGCGAGGAATACGATTTAAGGGATTAGGTTGGCAGCTCAAGACCATTTCCATAATATTATTTACAAAGTATGTATGGATGTAACATTACACCTTTTTCCTAAACCAACTACTGTTGCAAAATGGTCTAGTAAACATTATGTTAAGTTGTTAGTTGGTGAAATTGGTATGTATTAACGTTCGACCGTATCATAGTCAAAGATACAGAAGATGCATTGATTAGCTCTCTCATGCATTCATGTGTGCAACAACTACATCCATGCTCGTATGGGAGGTGATGGGGTCCTGTTTACTTCACTTTCCCACTCCACCATTGTCACCACACCCCCTTCTCAAAAGTCTAATTACAGCCCAGTTGAATGGTGTGCACTAATGCCGTCTGCAGCTGTTGAAGCTATTTTCCGGCATTTGCCTGGAGACCTGAGCCTCTGATCAAATCTGCACGTGCAGCTCTGCAGTCGACATTAGGGCCATCCAATGTCTTGCACGGCCTCTCAACCCCGCCAGTCCTTAGACTAGACGTGAGAAATGGCTGTGCAGAAAGATGTCATCTATACATCATCAGCCTCCCGGTGGCCATACTTGATACTGCTTCACAAGGTTGAGTAAAATGGCAAAAAGTATGGTATACTTAACACAATATATTATTGTATAAAAGGTGATATTGCTGCCAGTTTGAGCAGAATCTGATAATGATAGGAATTCAAGGAATCTTGAATAAACCAGAATCCATATTAGTTAAATCTTAGACTGTACTTAGTATAAATGCACTTCGGATCACATTTTTTAAGACTGTTCTTTTTGGTACGGATTGGGTTTGTTTTTAAACAGAATTAAGCAGTTTCAGAATAGAAATCGGTCGCAACAGCTTGGCTTCTTTGTAAGCTTATCGGAGGGTTCGAGCATGCAGGAGCTGTTTTAATGAAAAACCCTTCCCTCTTATGGTCTCCAGGATTTGGACGATGTGGATGAAGGACAGGACGAGGACTCTGATGGCGAGGGTTACGATGAACATGACGAGTTGTAAGAGCTGGCCGTGAAGAGAGAGAGAGAGAGAGAAAGGAGACGAGTCCCGCCCCAACCCTTCCAACAAGTCACCATCACCATCTTCACTTCCTTGTGGACCTTCCCTGTCCTGTGAACATTAACATTTCCCCTTTAACTGCCTTTCAGTCAGTCAGTCAGCCGGCCTTGCTAGCCAGCCCACCAGTTAGTCAGTCTTTCTATCAGAGACGGGGCCATTTTACCAGCCACATCTCCCAACTTCACAACTTCTCATCGGGTCAGACTAGGTCCTGTCCCACCTGGGGGGACTCTGTGGAACGGCGCAGCACCTCTTTAGGAGACCTCAATGCCTTCTACAAAGCTCCACATCAGCTGTTTGCCTTGTATATTTTAAACCAAATGTAAAGATGGCATTGATATCCAGTTTTCAAAATGCTTGTTCCTTTTGAAAAAGACTTGCAAATGTTCAGTGTGGGTATAAGTTAATTGAGTGCTGTAATCTGTATTTGTAGGTAAGGGGGGGCTTCCAATGTTCGTTCCCTCTAATAGAAATCCAGAGGACCAGAGTTTAGTGTGGCGGTTTTGTAAGGACTGATCTCTCAGGGGTCAAGGGTGCCATCTTATAGATGTGTTTATTTGGCTTCACTAAAATAACCCCACAGAGCTTTTCCAGTGTAGCACAAAGGTTTCCCCATCTGTAGCTGAGACCAATTATTTTTTCTCTTTTGGCCGGGGAAAGTCGACGTCGTAATCGTTTCTTCATTCCCAAGTAATTTCTCATTTAAGTCTCCTCATTTTGGCACGGCTACTGACTATTTTCTAAAAGGAACAAAAGTTAACTTTTTTTTAGGGGGAAATTCTATTTTATTTAATTGCTTTAAGTATGAGGTTTTCTTGTTTTGTTTTTTTATCGTAGGATTTGTCATTTTTAACAAATGTACCATTGTGCCCAGCTGTAACCAGTTGGCCCTGCTGGGGCAGAGTTGGCCCTTTGACATACTCTCAGACCTGGGATTGTTTTCTGGAGCCAGCTCTGATAGGTCGCACTGCATTCATGCCTAATCAGAGATTTCTTGTGGTTACTAAAGCGGGCAGAGATTGGTCGAGTTTACTGGTCAGGTTGGTCTGAGAGAAGTGTCCATTATATCTAAAGCGGGGAGGGAACCGTTGCACAGCCCCACCCCTCACCAATACTGTACCTCCTTCATCCCATGAGGCTCTACCTAGCAAACTTGATGCCACAGCAGTGTGTGCGTTTGTGTGTGTACGATGTGTGTGTGTGTGTGTTTGCTGTGTGAATGGTGTAAAAGCAGTTTGATTAAGAAAAAGGATGACTTGTTAATATGTTCAGGTTGTCCATGAACAAGGGATTGATTGCGCTGTGTGTTTGGCAGGAAGAGGAGGCTTGAGTAGAGCAAGGGGATGGGTTTGACAGCTGTACAGCAGTGGGGGGGGACTAAAAGCATTCCATCATATCCAAATCGATGTGGAAAAAAAAACATGAAATGGTGGCCAATAAAATAAAAAAATTACAAAAATGAATTGTCTCCTGTTTTTGGTTTATGTTCAAGTGCAATTTTAAATTGAACACATGTGAACCGTGGAAGTGAAAAGGCCTTAACACTCAATTGATATCTTCTAACCCCCAGTGAAGGGCCTGCTGCTTGCCAGCAACAGTTTCAAGGTACTTCCACATTGGCTTGAGATTTGAAACCAGGAGGCCATGTCCATTTCTTAGACAGGATGCCAAGAAATCATGTTTACTGCAATGTTGAAACAGATCAAGTGGACTATCGGAAACAAAGATCTGAAGACCTACATAGCTACGTGGCTAAAACACATGCTCTCACCTGTGAGCTTTAAACACGTCTAGGTAGCCTATAAAGAAAAGACATTACAACGTCTCAGACCCCATTAAGACAATCTACAGTTCATCACTGATGTCTTGTTAGCTAACATTTCATGAAAAGAAAGGCAGTAATGTTCACAACAGCTAGCTGTGGTTCTGACTTTCAACTGACTTGAGACGCCTTGAAAGTGTTCAGAGGAAGAGTATTTGATGATCTAGCCTTTACATCCAGGTGTACTATTTACAGTTTATGAATTAATGAAATTAGTAGTTAGCTTAAAGCTAAGCCTAGATTCTTGTAGTTTTTTTTCCACTCGTAACAGAAAACACCAAGTAGAAAACCTTACTGAGCTCAGTTAGAGCGTAAAAACGGTCTGTTATTGTCTTTGCTTGAATTCGATGATAAAGATGTCTTGAGTTGACAAGAAGAATCAGGGATGAGGCGAGCAATTCAGGAGTAAGTCAGCTGATGTTTTCAGTCAAAACTTACTATATATTTTGAAATTTCCCACTGTTACAAAATAAGTGTTATATTTCCTTATGCTTGACCCAAATAAACTCCATTTCTCTTTCCTTTTATTAAAATGAAATAAAAATAAGTAGGCAGACAATTTAATTTGAGATTCTCTTACCAGTAAATCTTCTGAACAAATTTTAAACGATCTTATCTTGTCTTTTTTGGGAAATGATCATCATCCACCCAATGTCTCACATCACAAGATGAAGATAGAGTATGACTATGAGCCTTTTTTGACTGTTTATGTCAGTGTAGTTGATGGTCAACAGCCTACATATGACACCTCACCCACTCCATGCCCCCAACACATGGCAACAGCAAACAACTTTTATCCTGCCTGCTGCTTTCTAGAAGCCTCCAAACCCTAACCCTAACCCCCCCCCCCCCCCCAGTATCTTGAAGTGTGCAGCATCTGGGAATGGAGTGACAACATAGCCCAAGGTTACTGGCTGTCATGTCTGGAGATGTGAGCTGTATGAAATGCGTGTGACAGGCTGTGACCCAAGAGCTACTCATCTTCCAAATCTCGATCCTGGATCTGTGAGGTGTAGCTTCCTAAAAATAGCCCGACAGAGAGTATAAAGATCCCCACAGGGAGCACGGGCCTTCAGAGGAACAGCTCCACAGTTGATATCTACACAGGAACACTGCACAAGAAGTTCTTATCTTTCTGCAGCAGGACAACAGAAGAAAGGAAATCTACACACATTTTTTAAGACCTAAAGAAATCTAATCTTTGATTTGCTGGAGCTAAAGAGCTAAAGAAAATCCAACTCAAACCAAGATGAAGTATTATCAGTGCCCCGTGTCCCAGGACATTAGAATCAATGCTTACAACGAAGACTGTGGACTGCCTGTCGGCTGCAAGAGCTCAGCTTCTCTGAAGCCGATGCGCACTGTGCACTTCCCCAATGACATCGTGTTCCAGGACTATGTGCGACACGGTGAGCTCGAGAGGATTGGACGTTTCATCAGAGCCAGAAGAGTCAACCTGGAGACCATCTACCAATCTGGTACATCAACCACCTGATCTAGGAAATTCTTCTACAGATAAAAATCTTGCTCATTAATCAACATTAATGGCTAAATCTCTCTGCCTTTTTTTGACCTAGGCATGGCCGCCATCCATGAAGCTGTCCTGTCAGGGAACCTGGAGTGCGTGAAGCTGTTGGTCGAAAATGGAGCAGATATCCATCAGAGAGACGAGGAGCAGTGGACCCCACTGCACATGGCCTGCAGCGATGGCTTCCCAGACATCGCACGGTTAGTATCAACACTTTTTAGTGCTGTGCTACAGAGTAACAGTTTTGTGATAATGGTGAATGCATAAATATATTACACCAAAAGAAAAGATAGTTAAGGTAAAAGGATCAGTCATGGACTCTACATGAGAAGATTATGGAGATCCAAGACCTAGAAAGTAACTCGTGGAGTTGCCTTAAACCAGGGGAGGTATTTCTAATGTCCAGAATCTCCACTGGTAACAAGTGAGTCGGCTAAATGACCCTGTTTTTTTTAATCCATTTATTGCCTAAGTAAGCATATTGCTCCTTTCAAGTCTAACTCCTAATGGTATAGTGAGTGATGATGCCATAAGAGTAAAATAGATGATGCGTTGAGGTATTTTTTGGGGGCGTGGCTAACTGATGGACAAGTTGCTACCAAAACAAATCTAGGTCTAAGTTGGTGTTTTATATTTTTGGAGAGAACATTTTCTTTAAAGCCTGTGCACATATACACGCGCAGAGTTGCTCCACAGCTTGCCTGCGTCACAGAGGTAAGAGAAGCTGGAGGGTCTGCTGCATTCCTGCACTGCTCTGACCTTGCTGACACTGAAGAATGACTGAAACTCGCATTGAGTTTGTCAAAGTAAGCGAACCAGCCAGATTCGATCCTTCTTAGTAAGCAGAGTTGTTTTGTGCTTCTTTCAGCTACCTCCTCTCGCTGGGTGCCGACCCTGAGCTGGAGAACGAGTGCGGGGAGAAGCCGGCTGACCTCATCGAGCCAGACAACACGGAGCTGCTGGAGCTCTTCGGGCTGGCTGTCAATGACTGAGGACCTGTCATTTTGAGAACCAAGCACTTGTCTTTATCCTACTGCCCAGTCAGTTCTGCAGGGATGGACAGAGGAAAGTCAATCCAGCATCCTGATTTTGTGAGCTGCTTCAGCTCTCCGGAGGTCAAGGACTGTGGATGTGAGGTGGAAGGCGGAAGGCGGAGGGGCTCTCAGGGCCCATAGGCTGCCTCCCGAACAGAGTGGACTCTGGTAGAGGCTGATCTCTGATCTCCTTCAGCACAGATTTACATTGTCCTGTCAGAGTTTCAGATCTTTTATCCCGTAGTGTAATGAATGAGTAATATTATCAGAAGTCGGTTGTTCTTGGCATGTTGCTGGGATAAGGAGGGCTTCTGAATGTTTTGAAACCAGAAACTGTTGTTGATGCTCAGCTCATTAGCGCCTCGCTTGAAGATAAAATTAGCAAAACCAGACACCTTTGTGTTTACTGCCTTTAAAGCGAATGTGCTTGTGGTCAGTTAGAAGTTAAACCCCCAACGGTTTTTTCTGATCCCTTGTAAGCTTAGTTAACTGTGTAAGTTGAGATGAGTTTTTTTTTTTTAAATACTTTTTTAAATAAACTTTATCAAACATTGTTTTTATTTGTCTGCCAGTTTCTTTCTGTCAAATCATTTCTCAGAACTGTTAGACTTGACATGAATTCAACTGCAATGTATGATTAGAAATGAGTACACAGCATCTAACAGTGGCGGGCCTTGCCTCCTCCTATGAAAGATGTTTAGTTGCAGACCATGCAAATAAAAATTCCACCATGTTGTTTATTTTCCATTAGAGTTTTGCCTAATGCAGCCATTCTGTGCTGTTGGTTGGTAGCACTACTCTGCTGGGATTGGCTGTGACTCATTGCCTAAAAGTTTACTCCTCAGGGATTGCTGACAGGAATCATTTTAACCAAGTGGCAACCTCGTGTTGTTGAAAAGTGAGCCAATGTGGAAATGCAAAATACTGCAGTTTGTCGAGCAGAAGCACCAGAAGTCATATACACACCCGATTCATAAAGGCCCCAAATAGGTCTGATTAGCTCATGTCAGCACACACTGTATGGGGGCTACATTTGTTCATAACTCATCTGTTTTGTTTTTATCCAGGATAAGCATTTTTTTTTACAATAAGGTGTGTAGCTTGTCAAGAGGTTTAAACCCCGCCTGAGCTCCAGCTCTTAGCCTGTCGTTAGGCTGACTAGGGTGAGACAGCATTTTCAACATGGAGCCAGCCTTCAATGGACTTCCAAAGGCTTATATTTACAGTCTATGATTTTAACCCAAGAGAATGTCTCTCACATGAAAGTCAATTTTGACTCATAGTTTCATCCCAAAGCGCGTTCTTTTCCTCAACCTAACCAAACTAAACAATTTGCAAGGTTACACTTTGTTAGGCACCAAAACGACCTGTTCAGGTTTAGGATACAATCATAGTTAGGGTTTATTGATTTTTTGCATGTTGGTTTAAAAAAAAAAAAAACTGTTCCTGAACTGAACCAGCAAAAATGAGGATATTAAAGGTGGCCAAATCAAATTGATTATTTAAAAAAAAAAAATTGAGCTAAAAAGAATGTTTATTGTGAACAACGGAGGATTAGAGCCACGTAAAAAAAATAATAATAATACATTTCGAGATTAAAGTCGTAAATTTACGAGAATAAACTCCAAAATTTACGAGATTAAACTCATTCATTTATGAGATTAAACTCATTCATTTATGAGATTAAACTCGTTAATCTACAAATTTAATCTCGTTAATCTATGAGTTTAATCTCAAAATTAAAAGATTTTTTTTTTTTTACATGGCCCTAATCCTCCACTGTAATTGTGGAATGGGTCTTGGTGTCAAAAATGTCCAACAATTCTGAAGATCACGTTAACTATTTAAGATACTTTGTTATTGTTGTTTTCCCTGCCTTCATCTTCAGTCTTAGAAAATGTGTTTTCAGCAGTGGAAAGAAATTTGAGTGAAAAAACAAAAATACGGCTTCAAGATTTCAGTGGATGCAACAAAAGAGCATGACTAAGAATACATTTTCGATGTCTATTTATTATGTAGCTAAAACTCCAAATCAATGAAGCGGTCTAGTTGCTGGTTATGGAAATACATAGAGGGCTGTCCATCCACTATTCAATTCAATTTATTTTGTATAGCGTCAACTCATAACAAGTGTTATCTCATGACACTTTACAAAAAGCAGTTTTTCCCCTTGTGTGCCAAGCACCATTAGAGCAGCTTTGAAACATATATGAAATATCAGCCATATAGCCATATTTCTAGTTCTCTTAAAAACTACTTATAAATGGTGTCTTGAAGCTCATCACTGGAAACACACAACCATGTGGTTCAACTAAAGGATATTAAAAATTAATTAAAAAGGATTAGAATCAGAAACAGTCAGCAGGACTCAGAAATTCAGGTCATGTTCTTCCAAGCCTCAGCTGGAGGCCTCAGGAGCAATCAAGCATACTGATGAAACAACACGTCCGTCACATGGGACTTCCAAAGCAAGAGAGGCATACAGTGCATGTGATGTTTACTTATTTATTACTACATACTAAATCTGTCAACACAATACCACTCCAAATGTCCTTGGTGTGACATCAGAACCAGGATACAAAAACATGTTTATTTACAGCTGGTATAAAAATCACCTGCATGAACAGGTCTCTCTCTGGGGGGGGGGTCTTTCCCTCCGAGTCTCTGCAGGAAGACCAGCAGCCACTCCTGTACAGCGTCATTCTTTGAACTTCCACTCCTGTCTGCACATGGGGCACTGCTGCTGGACCTGCTGCGAGTTCAGCCATTTCAAGATGCAGTGCATGTGGAAACAATGGGAGCATTGACCCCAGACCAGTGGGCAGTCGTCTCCAGGCACTTTACCTGGAAAAAAAAAAAGGTTAATAATAATTGATTACATGCCTGTTAAGGAAATGACATGTATGTTCAGTCTTTAGTTGAACTTCTTCAAACTGCATCATTTACACCGACTGTATCTACCTACACTTAGTTTTGATGCATTTTGTTTCAGGAAAGAAAATGTGTGCACCTTTAACACATTATAATTCAGATCTGTCTGAACTGTCTGGGAAACTAAAGGCAGTACCTGCTAAACTAAACAACTGATGTGAATCAGTTTCAACATCAATGTTCACAAAAACTCTAAATGCTAAGTCCAAAAATAACTTTTTGTTTCTCAAATAAAAATTGAGGTAATACTCAATTACAGTCAAGATCTCAGAATATCATCCAAGTATCACCCTGCATCACTCCGTTGTTCTTTATAAATACTGCCAAAGTGGCTGAGGCTCTATTCACTTCATGTTAAATTCAGTTGGATGTTAAAAGCTTACAGATACATACTGTAACATTAGAAGTGAAAAACATTTTTATGAAGTGACCCGAGTGACATGCGGCATGGGCCACAAACAACACCACCATGCCATGAACAACACTGACATGCCAGTTCTCCCCAGGTGGCAGACATTGTACTGACCGCCATTATGTGCACATTTGACCTGTTTTATGGAGGCTCAGGTATAAAGGCCATGCTTTCAACATGTTGATGCAGTTAGATAAAAGCTCCAGTGAACTATCAGCTACAATCACATTAATTGGTGCACATTTAGTGGTTAAAAAAATTATGTTTTTTTAACTTTGGGAGGCAAGTTTTGTGTTAAACAAGAAGAACAGAAGATAGATATAAAAAAATGGAGTTGTAGATAATATGCACTGTAAATTATTTGTTTATTTACAAATAATTTACTTCCCTTTGTTATTGTGTTATTGAACAAAGTAATATTACGGCTGTGGCTCAGTTGGTAGAGTCGTCGCCTCTTAACCAGAAGGTCAAGGGTTCAATCCCCAGCTGGGCAATATGACTTGCTCCCACTGCTTTGGTGGTGGTGTATGAATGGCATTAGTTACTTCTGATGGATGATACTACATAGCGATCACTACCATCAGTGTGTGAATGTGTAGGTGTGACATGTGGTGTAAAAGCGCTTTGAGCAGTCTGAAGACTAGAAAAGCGCTAATAAGCTCAAGTCCATTTACCATATTAATTAGTACAATGTTCACAAAATACAGGCCTAATCTGTACACAATACAAAGTTCATTTATCTGTTCTGATTTTCTCTGTTTTTAATATGGCAATAAATATTGCAGATCATTTTGAATGACAAGCTACAGCAAGTAAAGGAAAACGTTATACAATCTCATTGAGTGGCGTCAGCTCACTTTGAGAAACAGTACGATCGGAAATGTATAATAATAATTCATCATATGCAAATAGAGACAATTTAAGTGTCCATATAGATTTATACCCTCGATGAGAGAGTTCATGCTGTTGCACAGGGCTTTATGGTCAGAACGATAGAAGAGGGCTGTGTTGGTGCTTAAAAACAAAATCTTCTTATAGTTTTGTATTAGATAGATAGATAGATAGATCGATACTTTATTGATCCCGAGGGAAATTCAAAGCATCCAGTAGCAGGTTACAAAGACGTACATGACATGAAACATTTGTTACAAGTTAAACCACAAAACCGACACCTCCCCCTCCCATACATATATCTTAACCTCCCCAAAAGATGTAAAGAATACCCCTAGATGCAATTAAAAATAGACTTATACAAGAAATGTACATAACCCGTGCAGGGATAAAAATATATGTGAAATTTAAACAAGAAACTATAAACAGTTGAGGAAAAAGCTCTGTAATTAGACCTGAATATAAAAAAAAGTGTTGACCTTCTGAAGTTGTGTTGTTTATATATGTACAGCAATGTTTAAAAAAAGCAGATAGTGCAGAGTTATCAAAAACAGACATTAAATAACAGGCAGTGCAAACATTAAATTAAAGGTGCTATTTAAGTAAATGAGGTGATTAGTCAGGTTAAAGTTTGCATTAAATACACATTTGGTGTGGTTACTCACAGTCTGGACAGCAGCCATTAAAGGGCATCCTGCAGATCCCACAGTTTTCATCGTTTGCAACCCAAAGCCAAGAGGCGACTCCGTTCCACTGTCGGATCTTCACCTTCATCCTCCCGGTCTGCAGAGGAGAGAGCAAGAGGAGACACATCAAGCAAACAAGCTAATCTTAGCATGTGAGCTAATGTTCACAGATAGGCTACATGTTATTAGACTACATGCATTTTAGCGTACATTAAGCTTACTTCTAGGCCGAGTCTCCTTCCGATGCCATACAGGAGTTAAGATACTTTTTTTGCGAAACAGAGGTGAAAACAAATTAACATGTTATGGCCACATTAATGTTGGTCCTACTTCTTCTTCTTCTTCTTCTTTCTCCCGCTTAATGGCGGATCAGCTTTTAGTCTCATTACCGCCACCTAATGTGTTGGAGTAAGGACCAATGAGAAGGATAGAAGATAGATAGAAGAATAGATAGAAGATAGATAGAATAGAATCTTTATTATCATTGTATACGACGACACAACGAAACTTCGTTAGCAGCAATCCTAAACAGCAGCGTTTACAAAAACAACAACAAAAATATATTTGTGGTGATATGAGAGAGAACTATGTAAAAAGTGGCCACAGCAATTGCTGTTCAGTGAATGAATGATAATAATAATAAATAAATAGACAGTTGTGGTGACTGAAATAATATATACAGTTATTATTTTGCAGTGACTGGATGAGTAAATAAATAAATAGACAGTTAAAGTTAAAGTGCAGTGACTGAGTAAATAAATAGACAATTATAAAGCAGTGAATTACAAAGTTATTGCACACATAATAATACATTTATATACAATATTTTATGAAATAATTCAGATAGGAAAATAATATATATATATGTATATATACATATATATATACACATATATATATATGTATATCAGCCTTGTTATAATGTGCTCCTTTTAGTTTCCTTCAATGTAACCACTTTTGACTGGTGCATCTGTCCCAATTCTTCTACCATTCATTCCCTGTGTTGTTTGTGATTTGTGATATTTGGTTATATTTCCTTCTTTTATATTTAAATCTGCATCTTCTAACATTGTCTTTACAGTAGTACAATAAAGATGAAATTGATTTTTTATTTTTAAGTCAGAGACATTTTGTCATTCTTGTGGGGACATTTCACCTTTACTTGTACTTTTCCATTTGATGGTTCTGTTAACTCCTACTCCAAGCGAAACACATTGTTCATTTTTAGATACACATTTTATTGAAAACAATCAGTTGTTAAATATGTCACACTGTTGAAGATTAAATCATTGGTAAACTCGGCATTTTGAACATCAAGCAATAAGAATGAACATTTAGTATATAATAAAGATATGTCTGTATTTGGTAAATACTGCATTGAAATCATGTTAAAAGAAGAGATGTTAAAAGAAGAGGACAGGGCAAATGAGAACACTTTGAGATTGGCAAAACCCATCCACTTAAAAAAAACTATTAAGTGATTCAATATGTGTTGGTTTAAACCACACAAAACAAATGCAATGCCAAAGAATTGAACATTTTGGAGAACAAAATAACTTAAAAATACAATTATTAAACATAAATTGCAAACATTCAACATTGCAGAGTTGAATGGTGAACTCCACAGCAGCTCGGAGTAAGCCTCCTGAAGCCTGCAGCTGCTGCACACTGGAAACCTACGGATGCAAAGAAAATGGCCCGTTTCAGATTGACAGTCCTCATACTCACTTTTGTTTTTAAGATTTTTTTTTTGTGGTGAATGAAATGAAAATAGACTTAATCACCAACGAAACAAAAACAACTGGATCAATGTAGTGAACTTCTTAACAGTTCTTTTAAACTCCCTCACTGCATTCATACATTCTTTGAGGTCGATTTGGAGCTCACCCTAGCTGTTCTCCTCATCATCAATCTGATGAAGTTCTTCTGGCATGGTGCAGCAGACGTCATCAGAGTCCAATTGAACCTGGATCTCATCAAGTTCGAGGCCTTCAGCTTCACTGTAACTTGTGCTAACCAGGCAAAGGTAAAACAACTTTACCAATGGAATCAGACAAACAAGAAAAAGGCCACTGTGTGTCCTTCACTGATTGCCACCTAGATGTTACTGAGATAATAATATTAGACTTTGGGGAAAAAAAGAACCCATAAACAAACATATTTAATAACAGTGAGTTTATGGATAAAAAGATCAAATACTGAGACAATGTTTATGGCCTACCTTGGCATTTCCTCTCCATGAGCCGCACTGTCCATTTCATCAATTTCTAATCTAGAAACTTGGTACACAAGTGCCACTCCAATGCAGTCTCCAAAGACATTTAGGACGGTGTTGCAGCGGTCTCTGGGAGGAACAACAAAGGAAAATATACAGATTTCAATATTTTTGTGGAGAGTACAGTTAGAATAAAGTAGAAATCTAGATTTAAAAATGACTGTTTTTTAAACCTAGACTCTATTTGACACATGTTGGAGACGAAAATGACTTTTGGAAGTTGGGAAAAAAAAGGCTGTATTAGCTGCAACTTCATGTTGGGTCAAATCTACCTGATTAAGGGAAATCCACTGAAAGTTTTTTTTTTTTCCATTGACAGGTTGAATTTTTTGTGAGGGTAGAACAACATTCCAAGAAAAGATCCCGACAGAGCAAGATTATTTTAGGGAGTAAGATGTTTTATTTAAAAACCTAAAAGCCACCTATACAAAAGGGGACAGGGGGGTTGTCGGTAGCCTAGTAGTTAGTGAGTGCGCCCCATGTACAGAGGCTGAAGTCCTCCAAGCAGACGGCCCGGGTTTGAATACGACCTTTGGCTCCTTTCCTGCATGTCTGTCCCCAATTTCCGACTCTATCCACTGTTCTATCTTTAAATAAGGCATAAAAAGCCCCAAAATCAACCTTACAAAAAAAGAGCACGGTAGTTTTCTGTTTAATGTTGCATTCATACGTCAATTTTTTTCCTTTCATTATTGTGTTACACAAATATGTGTGTGGTCTTGGTGCTCTAAATAGTTAAATAATTGTTTTCCCGTCCACCCCATCCATTTTCCGTGGTCTATCTGATAATTCAAACTGATTTATAACAGCATAAATAACTCAAATTACAAAACCCTATGCAAATAGATGATGCTGGGTTAGCAGCATGGCCTCCTAAAAACGGTTCCCTCTAAAGGTTATGTTAAAGTTTGTTCAGTTTACATGTGGATGTCTTCCAGCTGTTATTAGGTGCAAACCAATCCAAATGAAGCTATAATGATTCGACATTTTGTTTGACTTGAAAATGCAACTTACAGGATCCATTCTATGACCACCAGAATGGCAGCTTCCTTTGAAGGTAAACCGATTGCTGTCAGCACAAAGAGAGTGGTCACTGCTCCTGTCGCTGGGATTCCTGCTGCACCTACGCTAGACACTGCTGATGTCAACCTGTACATCCAGCACAGACACTCTTAAGTTTGTTTGAGTAACAGGTTTCTGATTTGGAGGACAGTAATATGAAATTGCATTTAACATTTTTGTAATCACTTCCTTTTAGAGGTTCCTTGTCAAGGTTCATATTTGCTGTAATAATATCCTAACAAATAGGAACAAGAGTGGCTTACATAAGGGTGATTAATTGGCCTATGGTGAGATTGATGTTGGTGAGTTGGGCGATGAAAACAGCTGCGACCACTTCATAAATGGCAGTCCCATCCTTGTTGAGGTTTGTGCCAATGGGCAGTATCAGGCGAGTGATTCTTTTGTCTAAGTTGAGTCGTTCTTCACAGCATTGGAAGGTGTGAGGCAGTGTGGCAGAGCTTGGAAAGACATGATGTGTGTTAGTTTACCTGACCATTTATAACACGACAAGGTTGTCAAAAAACAACAACCCGACTTGCACATGTACCAATATAAAGAGCGTTATAAGCTGATGCTGCACTGTTATGTCATCTTACCTGGATGAGATGAGGAATGCGGTCAGTAAGGCAGGAGTGACCCCGCGGACGACAGTCATGGGGTTACGTCTGGTACACACAACATAAATCAGAGGGAGAAGTATTCCTCCGTGGATTATAAGCCTGAAACACAAAGAGATTGCAAAGTGATTACGAATGAAATCAAATACAATCACTGACAAAAGCAAGAGTTTGAACCCGGGTTAAAAATTCAGCTGATGGGTGGGACCCTGGATGACATTTTATTATTTTTTAACATTGATAATATTATGGCAAATGGTAAACGGACTTGAGCTTGTATAAGCAGTTTTCTAGTCTCCTGACTACTCAAAGCACTTCTACAGTGCATGTCACACCTACCCATTCACACAGGGCGGAGGCTGTTATGTAAAGTGATCTTCAGAATAATTAATCCCATTCATACACACGCCTACGCTGCCGCCGAAGCAGCGGGAGCAATTTGGGGTTAAGTGTCTTTACCAAGGACTCATCGGACATGTTGCTTCAGGAGGTGGGGATCTTCCAGTTGAGAGACAACAGACTCTACCAACTGAGCCACAGCTGCCTAACATAATATAACAATGTTGTAGATTTGTGCGAAACACTGATATAAGATCATTTAAAAAATGATTAATACCAAAGGTATAATTAAAAGAGGGTTGATTAATTAGCTAAATATACTTTTATTGTGAGATTGAACTGGGAGGGTTGAGCAGTTAGTATTATTTTTTGGTGCAATTAATCATGATATTTAATGTTGGAAAGGGCTAGCTATTACTATTTAATTAACATGTCTGAGTTTATCTGACATTTCAGTAAAAATACAAAGAAATAACTTACCAAAGTTTAATAACCTTATAATGCAAAAAGCTCCTACTCTTTGTGATCAGCTGAATTCTTTGTTCATTTTTTGTTTATAATACGCCTTCTGCACTGCTGCTATGGAGGCTCAGAGATCAATACAAGCACCTGCACTTAGACTAGACTACTACATTACTAAATGAGTGCTACAACAATAAAGGGAACACATACCCGAGAAGAACCACTGCCATGAACTTTGCGAGTTTGAAGATGGTTTCCCAATCGTGAACGTCAACAACATGGTCTATAATCATGAACGTGACTCCAAATGGCAAGTAGCTAGAAGACAAAGCATGAAATGACAAATTAGGAAAAGAACAAACAGAGTAACTGAGCAAACTTCAGCTGGGGAATGCAGCTTAAAGGAATCAGCAAGAACATGCTGTGCCTCTATGTCTATGTAGGAAGACTCCAAATTGAAATGTGAGGTAGAAGAAGAACATTGTCCAGTCTAACTTTATCAAAGTACCTCTCTTTTGTGCAACCAGCTCTCTAGCTGTACTAGCCTGTGGACGACTATGCTGATGAGCAGGAATAACACAGAATACTGGATGGGTAGGGGAGACAACAGC